GAAAGGAACACAACCTTTCCGTCAGAAAAGTCGGGGGGGCCCAAATTTCTCTTGGTAAAATTCCATTTTTTTCCAAATTGCGCACAAAAAAAAAACGGGATTCCCCCCCCCCCCCCAGTGGCCATGGCTTCCCATTGGCTGCGAGGCGCAGGCAGGCGCAACCTTGACCTTGTTTGTCGCCATGACGTATTGGCGACGCTCTACCTGTCCGCCATTGTCCCCTCCCCTCTCCCCCATAAAGCTCGCACGCCTTTTTATCACCTAGAGGTCTCCTACACCCCGCCGAGCTTGGTTAATTCTATCCCTCCCCCTCAACCCCTCGTCTTCGATTCATTTATCGATATTACGACTCCTTCCCTCTCTCTTTCTCTCTCTCTCTCTCTCGCACACACACACACACACAAAGCATCCTCACAATATGAGGTTCTCCCTAGCTCCCGCCCTTGTGGTGACACTCGCCGCCCAGGCTACAGCTAACAGCTGGTTTGGAAGTGCCGGTGCGTATAGTGGGATCCCCCTTCTCTTCTTCCTGTCTCTGTTCTGCTTCTATCACTGGCCTGGCTGCATGACGTTTACGTGCCATGAGAGCAGCTTGATGCTAACAACACTGCACAGTCTACGACAAGTGGCACGAGACGGAGCTGGAGCGATGGCTCAAGGACCACAACGTTCCTCACCCAGGCCCCTCTGATCGTAAGAGCCTAGTCAACACTGTCAAGGCCCACTGGAACGACAAGGTTGTCACACCCTACACTAGCTGGGATGTCACAACCCTCGGCAACTACTTGTCCCTCAAGGGCCAGCAGGCGAAGAAGGGCACCGAGCAAGATGCTAAGAGCCTGGCCGAGCAGGTCAAGGTGTACTGGACTGAGACCGAGGACTCTGCCAACCAGGCCTATGGTAGCGTCAAGGACTGGATTTTCGACTCGTAAGTTGCTCTACACTCGCGTTGCAGTCCTGTCGTTAACAGTCAACAGCTGGTCCGACTCTCAGCTCAAGGCTTTCGCCGACAAACATGGCATCCCCGTTCCTCAGCCCCGCCAGCGTGATTCCCTTCTCGCTGCTGTTCGCAACAATTACCAGTCTGTCGCCGAGAAGGCCAAGGAGACCGTCAACTACCCTGGTGATTGGTTGTATGAGACCTGGTCTGACTCTGATCTCAAGTCTTGGTTCGATGAGCGTGGCTACCCCGTTCCCCAGCCCTCTACCCGCGATTCTTTGATTGCCAGTATTCGTCGCCAGTCCCGCCTCGCTAGCTTGAATGCCCAGGGTGCTTACGCTTCTGTCTCCTCCGCTGCCGCCGATGCCCAACAGAGCCTCAGCGATGCGCTCCTTGACTCGTGGTCTGACAGTCAGATCAAGGAGTGGGCCGACAAGAATGGTATCAAGGTCCCCCAGGGATCCAAGCGCAACGAACTCATTGCTCTTGCCCGCAAGCACCGTGCTCGTCTTTATGGTGACAGCGCCTCTGCTACCGCCGGATCTGCCTACGGTGCTGCTACTTCCAAGGCCAACAACCAGTATGCTGCTGCCACTGGCGGCTT